GGAATCACAGAAATTGCCCCTCTTGATAAAGCTGGTTTTCAAGAGACCTATTAGGGGCTATGTCTTGCCATTGCTCCAGGAAATCTGAACAGAGGGCAAAGAGGACAATGGCAAAAGAAGGAATGCCTGCTATTTTCATCTTATCTTCAATTAATGTTTTGTTATAAAGAACACTCCACTTATCACTCTCAAGTAGGACAAAAGAGATTCAATGGTGGCAAGAGCTAGTGTCATGTTTGACAGGGAAATGGTAGTGTTCCTGTGGCTCTGATAATCCTGAATTAAGTGTTGGCTGGTTGTTTTCAAATAAACTCCTTTAAAGCAACACTGAAAGTCACAATTTCCTCACATCTTTCTGTAGTATCAGAACTTCAAAGTTCAGAATGTCAAAGTATCTAGCAAAGCTGAATATAATAATTAACACTATTTTACCTAACATTGTCATAGCAAAAAGATATTCTTTTTTCTAAGCAAGGAAATATTTCCTGTTTTCTAGGTGCCAGTTCCTATAATTTCTATGGAAATCTCTTCAAAAAGGGTAAGTATTTACCAAGTTTGACATACGAAAATTTTGACTCAAATGTAATGAAGCTGTAAACTGTATAGAGATAGATAGATACACAGATAGATAGACAAATGGATGTACATCATCTATAATCAGATATGGTCTGATACATGTAATCTTTTTGTATTATTTACAATAGAGAAAATGCTCTATTCCTTTATGAAGCATTTAAGTTTTTAAATTCTAATGTTAAATCTCCTTAGTTCACACTATCATGCATATCAAAGCAATTGAAAAACAATGTGTTTCATGAGTTACTGGCATAGTAATCACAGTAGGGATTAGCTTGGTGGATATGGCAACTCACAGAAAAGTTTCTTGCTGGTAAATATAGACAGACTTCAGCCTCATGGGGATATCAGTGCAAAAAGAGCCTTGCTGGATCTCCTACGTATTCAGTTGCCCATGAAAGGCAGGCTGTTTGGATCTGACTCCCTTTTGGGTTTCTGCTAGTTTCTGCTAATATAAACATCCAATTTATTACTCTTGTAGGCAGGTTCTCATCCATACTTTATCATCATATCATCTCAGGATGAAGCCATTATAAACATCCCTGGATAGTTGTATTTTAATAGATCTAAACATCTGGCACAGTATAGCTGCACGTAAACATAGTGAAACACAAGTAACAAAGAATGAAAATTGCATTAATAGGAGGTGTGAGTGTGCTCCAAAAGATCATTTTAGTCTTGATGTCTAGTCAACTTGCATTCTTTCTGTAGGTAACGCAGAAAGACAAACTCCTCTGATAGTGATTCAGAGGAGGATCTTAGGTGTAAGTATTCTGAATTATTTCCTGGATCAATCTATTTTTTTTTCCATGGACTCTGAAAGCAGTTCTGGAGACTAGATTGTCTAACACTGTACCTATGTGATTGTTTGGAGAAAGACTTCCGTATCGTTTCAGATATTTGCCTTGCCTTTAGCTCTCAGTGAAATGTCATGGTAAAAGGGTTGTGTTGGAAGAGTAAAAGGGAGATACTGTATAAAAAATGAAGTAGTCCTCCTCCATTACATCCAGCTCCCAAGAGGGCTTCTAACTATACTAAATTCAAGAAGTATCTGGAAGATCTGGAGAGAATTGTAAAAAAGCCACTAAAGTAATCCAGTGGTTGAAGAATAAACCTTCTTGTGAGAAGTAACAGTAGCTTAACTTTTTCAAGATGTCAAAGAAAAGATTGAGAGAGAACAGGAAAGTCAGATATAAAATTTTACCAAACGAAGTTACTTCCTAGTGTATGTGTAAAGGGGTTCTTAAACATTGATGGCAAAGCAACAACAGATTAAATAACCAAGCTCAGCTTGTTGAAAGTAGATAAACTTAATCTTGAAATTGGGTACAGTTTTCTGATACTGAGGATAATTAAATGTTAGAACACATGTTACGGATGGAGTTGGCACCAAGTAATTTTGTCTTTAAAATGAGCAGAAGTGTAACTTAGTTGAGTTTATGTGAAAAAAGTTATGTAACTCGAGCATTTTGGCTAGTCTCTTTTGAACTTGGAGTTAGTGAGCCTATGGAGACCTCATTGCTAGCCTTGTCTCCATGTCCTTATAACACTAACCAGTCTTCACTAAGTCAGTGGTACAATAAAATATCATATTTCAGGGCTGAGCTAGTTATCTGCAGAGGCTGGGAAAGAATGTTCTTCTTTGATGTTCCAGTGGCTAGATATTGAATGCTTTTTGCCTTCCTCTGATGAACCAAGATTCAGAGTAGTCTTTACTCCTGTTAAAAGATGAAAGAGAAAATCCCCATCTCATATGTCTTAATGAAAGTGTTGTTCATGTCTTCTGGGACAACCACACTGCAGCCTTTGCCAAGAAAGAATTCCCCTCAAACTAGGATCCTAGGTTTCTTCTTCACTCCACTTGCAGATCGAGTTCCTGCTACTATCATCTGGCTTATCTCAGCTGAAAAAGTCTTCAAGCATTGCTGTTACCAGCCTTTCCTAGTCTCCTCCCCTGGCATTTCTAAAAGTTAAATTTCTGTGATCTAAACAGATACAGGAGGTGTAATTGGGGCTAAGAATGAACTATGTGAATTAAATTTCATGTTTTCTGATAGGTAAGCCACACTAAATGAGCTACCAGCATTTTCCAGCTTTAATTAATTTTAAAATATCAGATTTTGAAAATTTGGTCTAAGAGTGGGAACTATGGACTAAGTTTGGCCATTAGGATAAGCACAGCTTTAGTGTTCATTAGGAAACCTCTTTCTCACTGGTAAAACCGTGGACGTGAGCTGTGCACAAGCAGTTCCTCTTGCAATGCACACTGCATATTTCTGTGTTTAGATGATTTACATTCAACAGCAAGAAGACTTTTTCTCAAATCCCTATAAATTCAAGCTATTATCTTCTGATTTTATTATGCTAGCATCTCAAGAATTAGATTGATCATCTTTCATTTGATTTCAAAAGGACATTTATGTGAACTCAGATTCCACGAATCTTAGCACTAATGCTAAAAAAAAACCCCAAACCCTACAAATAAATATTAAAGAAGCAGACTGTGACCAGTTAATTTGTAAGGAAAGATTGCACAGCACCAGGAAAAAAAAAAAAATCCATCTATATCCTGTGCACTGAGGGATTATACAAATCATACTACTACTGTGCAAGTGTATATATGACCATATTGTAAGCAGATGCATCAAGAGTTAAATTTACTTGATAACTCCCACTTTAAGATCGAGGTTGCTTGTAACTTTTGCAAATTTGAACTTCTTTGTTTAAAGTCTTTCATGTCAAGTTTTTTGCAGATTGGTTAGGAGACAGAGAAGTGTAAAGAGGGAGGCATTATAAACTATCTTGAGGAAGAAAAAGAAACTTAAACCCCTGCCTGTTCAAACACAAAACTTACAAAGCTGTAACTTCAGAAGCGAGGAAATGCCAAAATAAACTTGTTCATTTTACTCTCTTTCTGCTCCTCCATCCTCATCCAGGAGTTTAGTCTGTAAGCAGATATTTTCCTACAGAGTAACTCTGCCTCCCTCAGGGCACAGGCTGGATGCACAACTGGCAAGCAATGATAAAGCTAACATTTTTAAATAACTCCAGTGGTAACAGAAGTTTTAATCGAAATTCTAGTAATTTAATCATATGTGGTGTGTTTTTCCCAGCAACAGCTGTACGTCGGATCTGAGTCAGTCATAGCGCAAGTGAAGTTCCACCAGTGTGACCTGTATGGCACCGCCTGTGCTGACTGCTGCCTCGCTCGAGATCCGTACTGCGCTTGGGATGGGATCTCCTGCTCCCGATACTATCCCACAGGAATGCAGGCAAAGAGGTAAGAACCGCCGCTTTCCATGATATTCTTTTTGCAAAATACCTAGGTAAATAGTTCCTACTGCAACACATAGTACTTCTTATCTCCCTCTCATAAAAATAACTGAGCAGTGAGAAGATATGTTAGCTGCTAATTTATTAGCGCGATCTTAAGGGATTGCAAATGAACCAAATTAATAGGATGGCATAAACTGGCATACTAGGAGTATTTTTATGAATAAAGCAAAGTCGCATAGTAATTATTTGCAGTAAGTTTTAAATAAACCTCAATTTCCTTATACATCTTTTGGTGTGCAGAGGAAAGATTCTTTACAACATCAGAGACCTATTTCGGTAGTATTATACAGCAAATATATAACACTGCAATAACATATAAAATAGAATTTCCAAAAAAAGCAAAGAAGAATCTGTGTTAATAGTCAAATACCTTCACCAGCCAAAAGGAAACCAGAGTATGTGCAAAAGCTAAGGTTAGGCTTAGGCCTTCTTCATTGAATTTATAATGACAAGTTACCCTAGAGGCCATTTCAAAGCATGAACCTAATTTGAGTACTTAATTCTTCCCTTGGGGACACTTCTTTCTATCGCCATTCGCTTATTCATGGCTCTTGGTCTTCTTTTCTTTGTGCAGTAATTTCCCATATACCTGTCCTCTTCCCTTCACTCTCAAACCCAGGTTCTGCAATTCAGCTACACAGACACTTGATGAAGCATCTAGAACATGCATATTTTAATCCACAATTTTTCACAAGACTTTAAGTCAACATTGCCACTAGAGAGAGTAATGTCCAGCCTTAGTCAACAAAATTTTGGCAATATACATATTCAAAACCTTTTTGTGGCTTTTTTGCCATCACTGTTTCTGCAAATATATGCTTATATATATTAGACTTACATGGACTGCAAGGATTAGAATGAATTGAGCAACTTCTGGAGACTGTTTTGAAAACCAGTGGAGGTAGTTCAGTCAAAACCAAGTCATAGCATCCCAAATTTATTATTGTTTCTTAAGGAAAACCGGGAAGGTGGGGCTTTTTATTTATTTAATTTTTGTCCTGCACATGTTATCTTTCCATGAACCTGGATGCACTCAGACAAATGCACTGCTGACTATTCCCAGGCACAACAGACATTTCTGTAGATTTTTCTAAAAGATGATGAACACAGTCATGTTACATTGGGCAACACGACTTTTAGGGTAAGGCATTTTAAAAAGTAAATACGGGAAATACAGCCAATGACTCAGCATAATTAAGAATCTCTTGGACTTATTACACTAAGGCATAGGTTAAGTAGGAAATCTACACCACTTTTACAGGCAGGATTGCATAGTCTCCTCATGCTTCTCGCAGGCAGACCTAAGGGAGGAAGTGGGCTCTGATTGTCTGCTCAATGTGAGAAGAGTCTAGCTAAAATTTTCAGGCCCCAGATTAAGAAAGATGAGCAGCTATATAATGGGCCAGGGAGATTAATTTCTTACAGTATAAGTAGAAATTGGATTATCGTAATTATAAAGCATATAGGTTATTTATCTAATGACGTAAAAGTCACTTGGGGAAGGGGGGAGGGGGTTTAAAAAATTTCCCAGCAGCCTGCTAGCACTGTATCAACATTTACATTGTTCTGCAGGCTACTTATTGTCTGAAAAAAGATAAGAGAAACTCACTCAGTCCTGAACTCTGTTGTACATTTTTAGCATATTTCTCACCTAAGACAATTTCCAGAGTAGCAGCCTTTACGTCTCCTGACACATGCATTTATCCAGGGCTGAGCGATATGGGCAGCACCCCAGACACCTTCCTGTGCTTTACCTCCCCAACATTTAGCAGGTCAGTCTCTAAAACGAGAAAATATTGCTCTTATCACTGCAATAAGCACTGCAGCAGTGGAGAAGGGATTTGCACTCAATTGAATGTTCTTGAAGTCTGCAAAACTTGTTTTACCTGTAAGAGTTTGGGGAACAGCCAGCAAGAACTAATAATATTGTGAGGGATGGATGGCATTTTCTTTGCTCACTTTAGATCATAGCTGAAGCTCACAGCATTTTAAACTTACGAGCTTACACTGTGTGGTACATGGAAAGGCAGGGAGAGCTACTTAGGACATATGTAACAAAATTGTTTTAAGTTGCCTCCGCTGGGTACCAAGTGGACAGCACTGCTCTAGGGTAGGTCGCAGTAGACAACATGGAGTTTTCTGATACTAAGCGACCCTGAGCAGGTGATAACTTAGCCATGGCTGCCTTGGGGTCCAGACACAATTAATGCCACATCCTAGAGCATAAACATCTTTATCTGGCCTTGTGTTAGGGCTCCAGATTTCTGCTCAAGCTGTACAGGGCAGTACAAGTAATGTGAGTGCAAGGGGCATTGGAGAGCATTTCTTTCTCCAGTTACTGGCAGCCCTCTCTTCGCTGAGACTCATGGACCTGTGCCTTACATTACAGCACCCTTGAGCTGGCTTTAATACCATCTCTATCTGCTCAAATGTGTCCCTCATACAGTACATTTAGGTGGGCTTTTGACTTGTAAGAGCAGCCCTGCTAGTGCAGTAAGAGCATTGCTAAGAGCTCTTTCTAATTCCAGTTCTACTGTTGAAGAGTTCAACCGAAGCAGGGATGTACAATGTACCCTCCCCACTTCAATTCAAATGCTATCTATTTTAGATCCTAATACCTCCAAGGTATGACAAGTGCTTAGAGAAACACAAAAAAGAAAAATTGTAAATTAAAGCACATACAGGATACAGAGAGAAATGCAAAAAACCCTCTGCTTGACAGCTGCTACTAATTTGTTGAACTGTAAAAGCCTATATTATAATTCCTTGTACATCCATAGCCTGGATAATTAATTAGATATAGGGTTTAATTAAGGACAAATAAAAACTGAGCTGAAAACCCCCTATCTTGATGCTGGCAGTGCAGCACACTACAATGTCATGGTAGTTACAGGTGTATGACTCCTGCATACTGCAAATACTTAAGATCCCAGAAGAAAATTATATTGCATTCAACTTCCATGAAGTGCGCTTGAGAAAGCAGAGAGGTCCAGGACCTAAAGAAATGCTTTAGCTCACTATTACCCCTGCAGTCTGATTTAGGCAGGTTCAATTTTTATCTGAACAAGCACTAAACTGTACAAGTGAGATTCTTTGCTGTGGCAGCTCACCGTCTAGGCTGAAAAAGGGCTGGAGTGATTTTAAAATGTCTTTCAGCTTGGATAGGTCTGGTAACCTGTGATTCTTTAGCTAGTTTTAAGAAGTTGAAAGTTGCTCTCCTGTCTCCTCTCCATCTCTGGCCTCTTTCTTCACCACCCAGTCCCCCAGCAAGCACACAAACATGCTCTGTGACTCTCATGGTTGGCACAGGAGCTCCGAACAGATTTGTTTTTTTCCCCAAATTTATCTGGAAGCCTCCCGGCCCTCCTTGCGGCCTGCCCGCAATCGAGTGTCTAGGCTGGAGGAGGCGACGGAGCTACACTGACGGCAGCCTTCCGCCAGGGGGCGCGGCCGTAGGGCGAGGAGGGGCGGGGCGGGGGGGGGGGGGGCGGGGGGGGGGGGGGGGGGGGGGGGCAAAAAAAAAAAAAAAGGAAAAAAACTTTTGCCTTGCAGCTAAATCCCTGTGCTCACCCAAATGTCCCTCTGTTATAACGTTTGGTTTGGCAAACCCAAACTCAGTCTAATGATTTATTTATGCAAATTGCAAGATGCCTTTTCTGAGACTTCGACTTTGCCTCATCTGTCCCTGGGAAATAATAAAGAAACATGATGGTGATGAAGATGATGATGACTGGAAAGCACAGAGTTACAGACTGAAATCTAAATTCAAGAAGTTACAGATTGCAAAGGACATTTCTATATATTCAGTACATTTGCTAGTCACCGAAAATTGTTCCTTATAGTAGTTTATCTCACAAATTGTCTGGTACTCTATTATTCATGGAATTCTGAATTAAATTATTACTAAGAAAAAAGAGCAAATACCAGGATTATGTCAGTACGTGTGAAATAAATTTATCTCCCAGTGTCTCCTGCTCCTTCAGCACCTCTCCCCATTTTTTCCTTCTCTTCAAAAAAGTAGCAAGTGAAGGCATTGGTAAATGTTTCTTCCCCAGTCTTTACACTCACAGTAGTAAAATTCCATCAAACAATCGTGTCTTTTTCTTGAACAGCTCTAACAACTGGAGAAAGATCCTGTCTTACAGGAGTAGGATTTTTTTAGCCCTACAATGGCCTTCAGGAACTGAAGTGTAGATAGTACGTGCCTGCTAACTGTCCTGTTCCTGCTAGATAGGGCTGCTGGGACTGACAGCAGCGGGGTTTTCTTGTTTGTTTATTTCAAGGCTAATGTCTGCAGTATTTATGTATATTTGTGCAAAAGAATGTCTCTTCTGGAAAATCTGTATACACAGATATACAAAGCTGGTGGCAGGATTATTCAGCACTGACACTTTGCAGAGCTGTCAGTAAACAGGGCTGCAGCATCTATACATTACAATGAGAACTCCCAGGGCATAATAAAGCCCTGTTGCTATCTCAGAATCTCAATTTTTGTTTAATAATATACATGTATTTCTAGTGCTTCTGCCTAAAAGTCCCAACAGACTCCCCACTGAATTTGCAGATTCCCCTGAAACAACAATGGCAAAACATTGGTTCTACTCAGAATATTGGTTAAGGTTAGAGCTGTCCACTGGATCAGAAGTCCATACAGGTGACAGAACTCAGCCAGTATTCATCCTCTACTGCTAGTTTAGCAATACAATGAGTATCATCCATCAGCAAGATCTTTAAATATTGTAAATCTGCACAGCTTCAGTAAATTCAATTTGTGCCAAATAAAAATTCTGTCTTGTGTGTTCATATAGCACTGAAGAAAAGCATTATCTAAGCAGTAAATACAAACAATAACAAAACTGCTTGGCTTTGTCTGTTTCTGTCATATGTGATTTATACTGTACACATAGCTGCTGTGTTAGATTTGCTGCATTGCATATTTCTGTTAATCTGTTATGAATGACATTGGTAATACTGTGTAGAATTACTCTCTATGCAAGCATAGGAAAGGTATCCTTAGTATAACTAAATTTCAGGTTGTTGGAAATACTAAATCTGGCAAGGTATGACATTCCAACAGGCTCTTTTGTTTCCCTAGTAAACAATCTTAATTTTATTTATCAGGACACTCAGAAAAAAAAATTGGCATATAAAAGCACAGTTCTTCTGGGAATGCACCATACAATCATGGTTTTCATTGTTTTTCTGTAAATGTATATAAAAAACCCAAAGCCCGAAACTCATAACAATTTTTCTTTCAAAAGCAATGGCATTATTTCCAGGCCACAGACAGGGATCCCAGGTTCTGTCCACAGTTCTGCCACTGGCTCACTTTCTGGGTATGGGCAAGTCATGAATGTGTCTGTTTCTCTGTTGAGAAAAATGAGCTTAACAGCTGTCTGGTACACAGATGTTATTAAATAAATTATTTACTCTGCACTTTGAGATTCCCAAGTGAAAAAAATAATATGACTAAAGGTTCCTTTGACTCTTCCAAGCACTGAATGTAGCCCAGCTGGTTCAGAGGATCTAGTTTTAGTATTTACATCAGTGTAGTTATATATAAACTGGACATGTAGTTGTGCCTTTTTCCCAGACAAGTGTGTTTCTTTTTTTTTTAGATATGTGATTCCCAATAGATTGAGTACAGAGAAAATACCAATGCATAAATGAGTACTTCTCACAATAATGCTAAATTTTTAGGAATCAAGATGTAGCTCCTTATGTTTTTAATGAATGCCACTTCAGCATAAACCCAACAATCTGCAGGCTAAACATGTTATCTCAAACAATTCCATTTTTTCCCTTCCAGACGTTTCCGCAGACAAGATGTTCGACACGGAAATGCAGCGCAGCAGTGCTTTGGCCAGCAGTTCATTGGTAATCTACTCACACAGTTACAAATTGCTAGCAAATGCCTGGAGCAGAGAGCACAGACTTTGCCAAGAGTATAAGCCAGACCATGATCTCACCTGAGTTTTTTATTGGCATATTCCTATAATAACTTACAGGAGTCATGGGAATGAGCCCATGTCATCCAGGTCTAAGAATGACTCTGTTTCAGTGGCAGGTCAGGTGCATCCCATAGAGTTCATGTAGTCCTGCAGCCCTGTCATTCAGGCTAGGGATGTAGCTAATGTATCTCGAGGGCTTCCAACAGAAATGCAAGTGGAAAGATGGGGCAGGGATAAGAAACAACAGGGCTCCAGCCTGAAATGAAGATTAAATACTTCCAGCCAGAATTGAAGGAGCTCGATAGCACAGACATGGGCAACGACGTGTCAGAACACAAGTGCGTATTTATGATCATTATCCAGATTTGTCCTAAAAAAACATAAAGTACTGTATCTAATGCTGTTGTCCAAACTTTGGAAGGTGATGATTTCAAACACTGATATTGGGAATGGCAAACCAGACAGAAAACAGCTGCCTGGACATCCTCAGTATTTTGCAGGATAACACCCAATACATTTATAGATGAAAAAAATCAAATATAAAAGGTTGTTTTAGATAGATAGCCAGAGAACACATATTTTAGAAATTAAATATTAGATAGATATCTTACCAGAGAAAGCTTCAATAAAATTAAAGTCCATTGGAGGTTATATTAGATTTTGGAAAAATATATTCCAATATGAAATAGTAATTATACAGTAAGTTTGAAATACAACAGAGAAATCACAATGATACCAAACCCTATAATTTTTAGGGTATAAAAGTGATTGGTCTAAAGAATATTTCTCACTACTATGGAATAAGATGATTTCATTAATGAGGTAGTTGGTCCCCTCTAGTGTAACATCTAGCTTATCTTCCTCTAGATGTTTTGTTGGATGAAAAAGCAGAATTGAGCTTTGATTAATTTCATTCACCTTGTTTTTATTAGCACCCTTGGGCCAAAACTATACATTCTTTTTACATGTGTATAACATGGATATGTATAACATTGGTTAGGGTATTTATAGTTTTTAAGAATTTCATTTTGCAAAAGGCTATATGCTCTCATTTTTATCCCTAAAAATATCTAATTATTTCTTATATTTAAGCATGTATTGAATCCTTCTCTTTCACTGACTGAAAATGAAACAGATGAACTATTCATAAGAACTAGGCACAAGAACTTAGCAGTGTGAAAGGCTAGTATCTGTTTCTCTGTGTACAGTCTTAGCTGAACCACGGCATAATTTGGTCCATTTATCTCCTGTAGGAGTCTGAGATGAAGGGAAAATTCACTTAGCAGGTCAGACCTTCACCAAACACTACTTTTCAGTCACTATCAGGTTGAGTCTGAATTAAACTTCACTCTTAAAAGTAAATATATGGTGAATATGGAGTGTAACAAGTATTGGTAGTAACACATGTTTTTAAAACATTTCTCTTTCTTCCAGGTGAAGTTCTGGAGAAGACTGAGGAGCGACTTGTTTATGGAATAGAGTACAACAGCACCCTTCTGGAGTGCACCCCTCGGACCTTACAAGCAAAAGTAATCTGGTTTGTCCAGCGAGCACATGAAACTAAGAAGGAAGAAGTAAATATTCTTATATACTAACTTTTTAAGTAAAAGAGCCTGCTGTTAGGAATATTACATCTTCACTGAAAGGCCTGTCATCAGTTGCAGAAATGTACATGGGTGTCAGGGAAAACCATTATGTTCATCTGCTGTCTTGAATTAATAGATCTGAGAATTTCATCTGCTGTTTGCATTCAGCATCTTGAACGCAGATGTGAGAAATGTAGTGAAACTTGATTTAAGATCTCAAAAAAAAAGAGAATCCACCACTTCTCCTGGTATGTTATTGCAGAGGTGAAATGTGTACATATTACTCCCAGTGTTAGTCTAGCTTGACATCTCTTCATTCTTACTGCCTCACCTATTACATTACAGAACCTTCTGAAAATGGGTATTGGTGGATTCTCTGCCTCTTTTACATATATTTCCGTATTATGGAAGTGCTTTATAAGCGTTATTTTATTTATTCCTCAAAACCTCTCCGATATACATCAGTGTAGCTATCCCCATTCAGTATGTGGAAGGACATAGGGAGAAAAGCCTCAGACTAAGAAAGGATTAGGACGGTTGCCTTACTGACTAACAGCTAGGCTCTGCTGCAAATGTAAGACCCCAGCTTAGCCATAGACATCTGCAGATCTCTGGAGTGAGACTCAACTGGTAGAAAATGTGGACATTTACAACAAAGAGATCTACCTAGGAGCTAGTCAATGTAGGCTGCCTTTGAAGTCAGACTAGGTGGTGTTGCAGCCAGTGGTGTCACCTCGTGTTAAACTAGACAGCTTCATTTTGTCATGTAAAAAGCTGACTAGTAAACCACTGAATACAAAAATAACTAAGGATGCCACACTTTGCTTTAAATATCTAAAATTAAGCAAGATGAATGCCATCCCCACATCAGGCACATTTTTGTTTTGACCAAGTCTCAAATCTCTGCATGGTTTTTCACACTTGGTATTTCGTCATCTATTTTGGTGGAAGATCCCTAGCTATGCACAATCATTCTTACAACAGAGCGATCAATCAGTTCTGTCACAGAAGGTAGTGAACTGTGAGGTCTGGAGGATGCCTTATAATATATACATCCTGTTAGACCCAGTAGCTCAGATACTGGACACCAGGAGTGAAAATTTGAACAGACTCTAACCTTCCAGTATTTCTTTATACTACTAGGATGAATTTGTTTTAATGTTTCTCCCTTAAAGTTACTCAATTTTTCATGAATAATTATATAGTCATTAGGAAAGCAGAAACAGGATCATAGAATCACTGAATGGTTTGGGTTGAAAGGGACCTTAAAGACCATCTAGTTCCAACCCCCTGGCCATGGGCAGGGACACCTTCCACTAGACTAGCTTGCTCAAAGCCCCATCCAGCCTGACCTTGAACACTTCCAGGGATGGGACATCCACAGCTTCTCTGGGCAACCTGTGCCAGTGCCACACCACCCTCACAGTGAAGAATTTCTTCCTTATATCTAACCTAAATCTTCTCTCTTCCAGTTTAAAGCCATTACCCTTTGTCCTATCACTACATGCCCTTGTAAAAAGTCCCTCTCCAGCTTTCTTGTAGGCCCCTTTTAGGTACTAGAAGGCTGTTCTAAGGTCTCCCCGGAGCCTTCTCTTCTCCAGCTTGAACAACTCCAACTCTCTCAGCTCATCCTCAGAGGAGAGGTGCTCCAGCCCTCAGATCATCTTCATGGCCTCCTCTGGACTCTTCAACAGGTCCATGACCTTCTTGTGTTGGAGTCCCCAGAGCTGAAGGCAGTACTGCAGGGGGGTGTCTCACCAGAGTGGAGTAGAATCCCCTCCCTCAACCTGCTGGTCACACTGCTTGTGATGCAGCCCAGGATATGGTTGGCTTTCTGGGCTGCAAGTGCACATGGCCGGCTCTCATCTAATTTTTCATCCCCAAGTCCTTCTCTTCAGGACTGCTCTCAATCCATTCATCACCCAGCACTTCTCTTCTGCTAAATATTCAGCACCTTACTGTTAAATGGAAAGATGAGGATTCCATTCTCCTGGGCACTTCTGCTGGCTGGATTAGACAGCTCAGTGCTCCCTGATTCCTAGCATCTGTGAATACCTTGTAGTTAATAACCTAGCTCTCAAGAGCTGTAGGGGGAACTCAATCACCAGACTCAGAACTGAGGCTTTAATATCGCAATGGTCCTGCAGTTAGATATACAAATATCTCTGACTGTTGCCTCAAAAACATTTGTCAATATACAAGAGAATTCACAGGGACACTTATTGCAGGTCAGTTGGCAAATGCCCATTTGTTTTCCATCCAGTAGTTTATTTGCATGTTTCAACCTTGTTTCCGTCTGTGATTTAGCCACAAGTGACTAACCCATGCTGGGAAAACAGGGAACTATCTGCTCCACTATCTGTTCTTCCATGTTTGCCAGATTGTCTAGACTGCTTTACTTTCACAGCTCAATCTCTTCTTTACTTAAGTATTTTTGTTACTTAAAAACTGTGAATTAAAGGATCATGGATCTCTAATCTTCCTCTCAAAATTTAATATTATATTCATGAAAGTACAATTCAGAAGTAATTGTACTGATTTAATGCAATAGTAAAGGCCCGTGCTCTATAACTGCATGAATTTATTTTTCAGGTGAAGACAGATGATAGAATAATCAAAATGGACCTTGGCCTCTTATTCCTGAAGCTGCATCGTCTGGATGCAGGGACATATTTTTGTCAGACAGTGGAACACAGCATTGTTCACACTGTCAGGAAGATCACTCTGGAAATAGTTGAGGAAGAACGCATAGATGAAATGTTCAGTAAAGACTATGAGGAGGATATACCTCACAAAATGCCATGCCCAATGCAGAGCAGTATACCTCAGGCATCAAAGCCATGGTACAAGGAATTTCTTCAACTAATAGGTTACAGCAACTTCCAGAGGGTGGAAGAATACTGTGAAAAAGTCTGGTGTACAGATAAGAAGAGAAAAAAGCTGAAAATGTCTCCATCCAAATGGAAATATGCCAATCCTCAGGAGAAGAAGGCAAGGATCAGGCCAGAGCATTACCGGTTGCCCAGGAACATAGCTGACTCTTGATGGACAAAATCCATCCACTGTTTCTGGGCAAAATTTTATTTGGACTTAAGTAAGAGGGAGAAATCAGTCTTGGTTTTGGTAAATGATACAGGTTTATATATATAAAGTATTGGGACTGAAAACAAAAATGCTATTGTAAGTTATAATGTACACTCATGATGACTGTTTAGAAGCATTTTAAGCAAAATCTTCTTAACTATCTGATTCTAAGTAGGTCGATGCAATCAGAGTTTTGTGTTAGGGAGGACATGACAATCTTCAGGCTCTGAGTGCTTGAATCAGTTTCCTGAGTGGACTGTGCTTGCGCTGTATATTGTTGCACATGATGGCATATTTAACAAATTCAAATAGCTAAGCATTCACAAATGGATAAAAAATATAACACATATTTTTTCTTTGTTTCACAAATTTCTCATGCTTCTGAAAGTGGCACATCTTCAGATCATTCCTTTTGATTGTGGCCTCTCTGAGTTTATCACTGAGAACAAGGAGTTGTGTTAATACAGTGTACTGCTATTTCTAAAGATAATGAAGGGAAATCCTATTTACGTCCCATCATTTTTTGTCTTATCAGTCATTTATGAAGCACAATGTGCTCTCACAGCTAAATAATATTCCCTAGTAACTTGATGTAAGTCAAATGCATGCTGAAAACACAAACAGAATGAAATTCTTCAACTTATCTTTATAAAAAGTTGAAATGATGGTTTAGATAGAAAACGAGTCTATCTTCTCTATTAATGGGCATTGCTTTAGTAATGAGACGAATTAAGGGAGAGCCCTCTTGTGGTAAAAATAAACAAACAAACAAACAGCAAAAACTGATATCATCTATTTTCTGAAAAGCTGTGTGTAACAAAGAAGTATTACCCAGATCCACAGCCAGTTTGTTTTCAGCACACTCTTCTAGTCTTCATGTGCTAAATCCACAGGTTTAGAAGGCAGTGTTGGAAGTCATTTATACTGGAAAGACAGCATTTAAAGTAAGTAATGCTTTATGTTGTTAATGTGCTTTTGGGGTAAAATGCAGTCATAAAAAGTTAGGATGTAGATTAAAAACAAGAACAGCTTTATGCAGCTGTGTTTCTATAATTTCAGGATCTGCTCCAGGTAAATATTTTCCTGATATGGGATCTCTAGTCAAAAGGGCTGCTTTGCTGCTCTTGTGAGTGATACCAGGAAAGGAGATCAAAGAACTAAGTCACTTACAATCTAGGTCTTTCAAGATTTACCAAAAAACAAAAAGAAAAAGAAAAAATATCTTTAAGTATGAGAAACTAGATGCAGAAAATGCAGGAAAACTAGCATTTCACTACTTGAGAAGTCTGATATTACAATATGAATTGGATTTTTTTTGTTGGAAATTTAAAAAAAATATAAGGAAGTTATAAATGCAAATGAGTCGCAAAGGAGTTAACTCCTCAAATGAGAACATGATGCCAATAGGGAAAACAGCCAAGCTGATAGTGATTTTGATGCCACCAAGAAAATATGCAAGGGAATTATCAGTCACAAAGATGTTCATGTTGAGCTTCAACTTCTAATCAGGAAACAGAATTTAGACTTAGTGGGAATTAACAGCCTGGATAACAGAGATTTTCTAAGCTTGCTGTGTTAACAAACGCAGGAACCAATGCTCACCCAGGGTTTTCCACACGGGCTGTGTGTGTGAGGATCTCGCAGTTGCTGGCAGGACCCACGAGCTTTGCTGTGCTCCTCTGGGAACGGAGACGGTCCAGGTGTTTGAAAGGAGCCCATGGGCATACTGTTAGCAACCTGAGTATGAGGAAAACAAGGTTTCACCTTGTGTTGGTATAACAGCAGATAGATGTTTCCATCAGCCAGTTGTGTTAAGGAAATCAATTTATGTGTGGGTTTGCACTTTGTTTAGCTAGAATGCATGTCAAAGAGGTGGGAATGGACAGCGTGCATAACCTTGCATGAATTCACGCAGTTGCTAACTTTGACCTGATACAGGAGACTGGATAAATTCACTTTTCTGTGACAGTTTAATGGAACTTAGTTGTAGTTAGGATCCTCTGTTTGGTTTCAGTTATATGGGAGGTGCTAGCACTGAAGGCTGTGGCAGAGAACATACACAGAACAAGCATCTCTGATTTATACTTAATCCCCTATACAATCCTTACTGGCATCCTTGATGGAAAACTGTTAAAACATCGCTAAAATCCTTTTCTGATGAATTAGAGAATCCACTTCTTTTAAACAGTGATGGGAGTTATATTTTACTTTACATATGATATGCAAGTCAGGATTCCTGATTTAATACAAAAGTGTGTATTTTTAGCTCCCTATCCCTTTAGTGGTTACATGTGGAGAATTGCATTAAATTTTTATTTACCTTTTAAAATTAAATTTTCTATCTCACATCTTGCTGTTTTCATGGTTGCAATGCCTGTGAGAATTCAGAACTGCAAGGTCTTGTTCAAAGAGTGGTATGACATCTATGGAAGAAGAGAAAGAGTGACAATGTATTTTGGAAGGATACGCACAAATGTGCTCGTACACAATGTTATTTAAAATGCTTCTTTGTATATTTGGGGGGCATTGTCTGTTCTTTTCATTATGAGTTTGATGTATTTTGTATGTGCATGAAGTGGTCAAATTATAAATATAATTAAGAACTATATTTGGCTGAAATAATCTGTATTACTTCTAGTAATTTATTTTCACCAGACAATATGATTATGTGCAGATCACTAGTCACACATTTTTATTTACAGATGTCCTTCACCACACATTTTATGAGCAGAGATCTCAGATCAGGACAGAGGGATGTTTTAGTATACATTGCCAAGTGGGAAACTGTGACACAGGGCAATAAGTAGATTTAGTCTGTTAACGTCAGGTAGATTTGGGAAAGCTATCGTTAGAGCAGCATCTGCTGCATGAATGTATTTTGAGAGTGGAACATGGTCACTTAAACCCAGAAGATTCTAATTGATGGAAATTCACTGAGAAATTTCCCATTTGGATGAAGCTTTGAACTCTGCTCTGCTTCCTGACAAGAGACAGATCACTTGGGTTAAACACTTACTTTGCTTTGCTCTTGCTCTTTTGTTGTCAGATTATTGTCACCCTGTACAAACTACTGTGTTCTCAGATTCTGCTAGGACATCAAGCCAGGAGAGTGTTTGCCTGCTGTGAAATTCCCGGCTTGTATATCTCAAAATAGCTTTTAGGATCTAAACAACTCTTCTGTAGCATGAAACAGATCTCTTTATGTAGGCAAGAGAAAAATAATCACCTTACATCCAGGTACCTGAATAGCAGATTTAACAGTCATATTTGAAGTAAGTGCTTGAATTAACATAACTAACAAGATTTCCCCTAAAAAAGCAGTCAGTCACTTTCCCTTTTTAAAGAGTCCACTAATTTCCTTAGTCTACTTTGGAGCAGTGAGGCTGGAGTTATTTATGCAACTTTATGTCTCTGGGTCCAGAAGGCACAGATGCTTCTGAAAGCTGCACTGTCCAGATAAGAGGCACTGAAAGTGAGCTTTTCTACATCTGTAATCTAGCAGGATGTCTGCAATTCCTATCAGCCCTGGAATCCTGTTCAGTTCACCAAATTACTGCTTTTAAAGGAGAATTCATGTCTAGTTAACACAGGTATGTTTGTAAATGAAGCCATGATTGACAAGTCTTGCCTTTGGGTGATATTTACTTTCTCCACTAGTAACAAGTCATTTTTGTTTTAATTTTAATTTTTTGAAGAAGTAAGTTTTCTGGCTAGCACTATAAACATAAAAATGGCAGAGCTAGCAATGTCAAGTAAAGCTACTAATCGCTGTCAGTTTATCAATACTTTACAGTGATGCACACATTTCTGAACAAATTCACCAAACATCAACCTAATCCAGTGCTGTAATCCCATTTTGCAAAACAACTTTGCCCCTGTGAGATAGGACTTCCATGTAATGATGAAGCAGGAAATACATTCTTAAGCCTTTGCATACATGTGCTTATAACTTGCTGAAGTGAGAGGCTCAGGACTGAGCATAGTTGAACATAGTTAGAGCACAGGAGCCTTAGCTGCCCAATTCCTAGATTTCCTGAGATTCTTATCCATATCTAGAAAGAGCAGATTTAATTGCAGGAGGAGAAGCCTGTGTCCATGAATGGTTTGGTGAGTCATGGATCCTGTTTCAGAACATCTGTGGGCTAAAGAGCCATTGTGAATAACTTGTTTCAGTAGACTTCCCCAATTGCAACACCCTGAAAACTCCATTGAAATAAAACATCTCTTTACTTGCGATGTCAGTTAATTCCACTGCAGAATTTCATGCCCTTGAGAGTGTCTTTGCACATCTTTGAAAAACTGTGTTTGAAGTACAGTCTAGGATCACATTTAATGTGGGTGGGTTTGTATATAAACTATGAATTCTCAGAATATCTCTAGTCAGCTTGAAATTCAGCATATCCAACAAAATCACACATACAGCCCATGATGATTTTTTCTCACTCTGAAGAATCACACTCACCCAGTGCCCTCAACATGGACTTCAAGCATGTCTGTGAAGGCACATAATAATGTCAATAATCATCTTCGTCATCGTGATCATCATAAACCACAACAGTTGTAACTCACTTTCTCCTCTTCGCAATAATAAGACATGAAATTTGTCGACCCATGGGCATGATTAATGCACCATGAGCATTTTCTGCATTTTAGTTTGCTAGATGTGTTAAAAGGTGCTATTAATAATCAGAATTTGAAGAATGCACCATGGACTTTGTCAAAATCAAGGTAATGGAAATATTCCACCTGTAGCTTTAACTCAGGCATACAGATCATTAGTATTGAATTTACTACATTTTCTTCTGCTTAAATGTGTTACTACATTATTATTTTGCAATCATCAAAAATAATGAATATTTTATAGTACTTTTTATGTTCAACAGTTGTTTATTTTCACAACTGCCACTAGAGGGATGAAAATACATTTCAGCATCCCTTACTCTTGTTTACAGGAGCAGCAAAGGCCTGTGGCCAGACAAAGCTCCCCCACAACACAATGCAGCGTCGTGCTGCAGCAATGTAGATTAGTGCCAGATGAGTGGGCAAGTTAAATCAACATGCAGAGACCCCAGCTTGTGCTCCAAAAGCAGCGTGTAAGGGCATGTTTGTACTAATCAACATTTTTTGCAGGCAGCTGCAGTTTATGGTAACATAGGCTAGCACATCTTGTTCAGTCATTCATGCTATAGGGTGCAAACTTCTGGAAGAGGGT